GGTCAGGTAGGAGTTTAGGGGTTTTTTTTTTTTTAAATGCTATAACATAGAGGCTAACATATATCTAAACCGCCTATTAAATGTATCAAGATTATACATATGTTTATCCTACAGCAGCATCATATTCAGATCCTCCCTCAGGCATCAGACATTGAATGTCTCCTGGTTTACTGTCTTGGATACTGTATTCAAATGGAAGTAAACTGCACTGAATCAGCTAATTTTTCCAAGTTCCCAGCTATATACCAATAGCCAACGCATTGTGTGAATGCATATGCTTCCGTAGTCATAGCAGCACTATTGATGCATAAAAGGAAAACTTGGAGGTTCCCCAAGTACAAAAAAATCTTTGGAGGTGGGGTAACTTAAAGGCGAAAGAAGGAACAGAGTAAAAATAGTCCCACAAAGACTGATTATATTCAGCGGGCATGGAATATTGACATTTCGATGGTGGAAAGCAATAAAATAGGAAGCAGATGGGAATCAAGTATCTGGAACAAGAGCATACCACATTACATTATTGTGTTGGAGACTATTTACATCAAAGGCAAATTCTTCATCATTGTAACAATTGCTTTCATAATGTTGGTTGCAGAACAGATTTTATGAATTATAGAATACAATCTATCGGTATATATGCATTACCTTCAAGGGCAGCCTATATCAAGGCTGCCCTTGAAGGTAATTCAGAAAGTATTGTTGTTTCAGCCTGTGGTAGCTAAATGCATCCAAGAATAAAATGTTCAAATCATATTATACCAATTCTGCCTTGATTCTCCTAGCTATCTGTTGGTTTCTGAATCCAATTTAAAGTGCTGCTTTTGATATTCAGCGTCTGCAGTGTTTGGGTCAGACTGTCTGAAGGTCCACTGGCATCTACTGTTTTGAGTACAATCTTCTGACGTTGCTCTGGTCCACCAGTAAGAGATATCAGCTGGATACCAGAATCAGAACCTTTTCTGCACTGACCCCATTAATCTGAAACTCCATTTCTAGGGAGATACATCCACAGTTTCATCACTGCTAGTTATTCCAAGCTACTTTAGTTAATGTGCTGTGAAACAGTTTTTAGCTGCTGGTAGTTCTAACTAATGGTTCTGAAATTATCTTTGATATTTATTTTTTGTTTTTATGTTTACAATGTCCACGTCTTTTCCATCTTTTGTAACTATCTTATGGAAAAAATGTGTTCTTATAGAATGGATTAGAAGTTCTTTTTAATAGTAAACATAAATGCAATTGTATTATTACAGCCACCATAGCTGTGAGAAAGCACAGTGCTATTTTGGTCCTATCTTTTAAAAATCCCTATATGATAGGATTTGCAGTCCATTGTATCAGGAAGCACCAGTCTGGGGAAAATTGACCAAGATATAATGAAAATGTGCAGATGAAACACTTTTCATCCAAAATATTATATGTAAACAGGAAGAAGGGGCTTATTTCTTTATCCTTTGAAAATCAGAATTCTACATTGATCAACTTGACTTTAGTGGATTAAACTGCATATCCCTGACACCTGGAAGAATTTAAATCTCAAATGATAAAAGCAAGCTCAATACTTGAGATAGTTTTAGTAAATATCTGTATCCAATATCATTTTGCACTTTCTACAATTGGGAAAAAAAATGCAAAGCAGCTCAGGACAGAGGCATAGGATTGTAGAATCTGACAATTGGGTCAAAGGGACAAAACACGCATTGCGATGGTGTGTCACAAGCTCTACCCCTTCCAACCACACATGCAACCTCATGGTGCAGGTCAGAAGGGCTGGAGCTGGCATCATGACAGTGCAATGCTTGTTTTATCATTTGCCTCGCCCCCCACACCATCATGAACACCCCTGGCTCAGTCTTTGTCAGCATAATAACTGTCCCAAAATAGAACTGGACAAATTTAGTGTAGTGGGAGTTGCTGGCAAAAGAAAAACCAAGTTCAAAACCAGACTTGGTCAAGTTAGGGAATTCTTTCCAGAGGGAGGCAGTTGGGTAGCAGTTCAAAATATTGCTGACTGTTCCATTCTAAACCCCCTTTTCTCCAGTCCAGAGAGTGTGTACACAGCCACCCTATGCTTCCCAGTACATTCAAGAGGAGAGTAGAAACATGGAAACACAAACAGATGTAACAAATGCCTCCTAGGGCCATTGCTGGTAAAGATGTTGGAAAGCAATCTAGAAGCCATGCGCTGCATGCTTTTCCTCTCTTATTATTGTTCTCTTTGAAACCACAGGTACACTGAAAAGAAATTGTGCAAAGGGGCTGGGTACTCTGTCCACCAACAAGATAACTCTGAAAATTTAACAGATGGGACTACATTGGGTGTCAGGGGAGAAGTAGACAAAAGAAAGATCAAGTCTGATCAATCAGCATTGGGGCTGGGGGGAACACAAAAATCAGAAAAATTCCCCCAGCGCAGCCCCATGGGAAAGACAAGTAAGATAGCAGCCTGAAATGCTGCTGAGACTCCTGTATTCTAAGCTGACCTCCTTGATCATGGGATCCAGAGCAGATCTGGGCTTCCAAGTACACACACACACACACACACACACACACAACACATAACACAGAATACAGTTCCTCTAACCACTGCTGGTAAAGGGCTTGAAGCCATACGCCTTCTTTCTTGCTTTGTCAGGGTACATCAAAAGACAGCCGAAGCTTAGTTTGTCTCATTCAGACATAGGCCTGATACCCACAAAATTAACAGATGTATAATGTTAAAGCAACAGTGATGACAAGAGGTCAAAAGAGTAAAGAAATTCTGTAATGAGAAATGTGCAATCTAAATACTGTATTCCATATCTGAATTAGTTTTATTATGAAAGCAGCCATGAACAGCCCTATAAAATGAAGAATTGCTAATAATTTTGAATATTTTAATTTGTTAGAAAAAATTTCCTTCTTCTGGAAATAAAGCAATAGATTGTCATCAGTTCTGAAGTATTAAACAAAATCAGGTGTAAAATGAAAGAGTTAACAGATAGTAAACATAGCAAGCATCAAAAAGGCAGCTTTATTTTTTTGAAAAATGAGAAGATGTAGGAAGCCCTTTGAAAGTGAAGTTACATATGTAAAGATCACCATTTTTTGTTATCTGTTGCATTCTATTTAGAAATCAAATACATTAATGAATGAGAAATAACTGTTCAAAACCCTTTCTTTATTGAACTTCAAACCAACTTTACACCATCCTAAACTTTTATTCTCCTCTCTGATCTACATGCATTCCGTCTCTCTTAACAGGGTGTCAGATTGTCAGAATCTGACATTCAAGAATGATACAAGACAACTTGGAAGATTCAGCAATCCTAAGAGAGGGGCTCTTTTCTTCTGTTATGAAACTTAATGTCTTGAATTTAAGACAACCTAGTAGATACCAAAACACCCAAGACTCAAGTGATGCCGTCAATGCAAATAAGTAATTGACAGTATAGGATCTTGTGAATTACAGAGGAAGAATGACTCACAGGAACAGTTTGTTTCCAAGCCTTATAAGGATGGCAAATTACATAATCCTTTATTTCCCACTCTTAACTGGGTCATAAGGTATCCTTAGCTTGTGTTACGTTCTGAGCAATCTTTTATCTTAATGACTGCTAATATTCTGAACTTTTTTTCTCCCTTGACTCTTCATCATACTCCCACTTTCCTAATTTTTTAGAAAAGACATACCAGCAATTGGTGTCTCAACACCACTATGTCAGTGTGAAGTTAACAAGCGAAATATGCTGCAACTGCATTTATCCACAGCAGCACAGTATGTTAAAAATCTGCAATATAAATACAGCATTATTGTCCCAAATATTGCTATGCATGTAACCCAGCCTTCCCAACCAGACAGGCTTTGGATACACAAACTTAAACTCCTAGAATTCCCAGCCGGTATAGTAATTACTGAGAATACTGGGAATTGAAATCCACATATATACAGTCTGCCCAGGTTGAACAAATCTGATATAGTTTAACCAATACCATAATTATCTATAAAGGGGGAGGACCATGATACACTGCAAGGAGAACTAGAGTTCCTTTCTCAAACAATGGACTCGTATACGTGAGCAGTCTGTAAATAAAGCTCCTTACTATGTACAAATATTTAGAGATGGCCTACTGCCATATACGTGGACTGAGTATATATATTCCGTAAATCTGCAACGTGAGAATGATATCTAGGTAACTGTTTGAAGGAACTGAAGGAACCTTTGCTCATAGGAGTAGAGTTATCTAGAGGTTGCAAAATGTTTGAAATGTGAACATGGGCCAGAATGGGCTGTTCTGGCCTCAGCAGAAATGTTTACCTGAGTGCAAAAATAGGCTATTTTAAACTTGGAGGAGCACTGAAACACCTCCAATGAGGTCAAAACGGCTCCTTTCAAATTCACAACTGTCCCATTTTAAAAACATTTTGCATATCTCTTGGGTCTTTCCACTACCTATCAATCATCACCTCCAGCATCATATACCACAAGATCCCATATTTTCCAGAGATTTTGGGCTACTCAAAGAAACAATTTTCCAGGAGAAGCAATTAGCCACAAAAGGGAACGATTGTTTTACAAACATAGCTGCTCTTTGTTCTGAATCACACTGTTTCAAGCTGCATAGGCTTGGGCTGATATTTGTTTTAAGCACATTGTTTCCTTTACAACCCCAAAAAAGCACCTGAATATGTGGAGAAGCTAACCTGGGTGCAAGGGTCAGCTGGCATCAGTATCAGCCACCCTTGGAGTGCTGAGTCCCATTTCTGATGCCAGCTGTGGATGCAGTCTGAGACTTGGAACTGTGTGTAGTCACCATTTCAATTTCCACAAAAGACACCCTGCCCATCCCGCCTGCCCAATGTAATGCAATGATATAAGAAGGCAGCTTCCTAGGGCCCCTCAATCCTGGAGCTGGCCTGAAGAAGAACCAGGCTCCATTCCAAGAAACGAACAAATTCAAAGTACTGGCGATCAACCATGAAACAAAAATAAAAGACAACTAAATAATTTGTTAAACAAGTTTTATTTGCACAAGTCTGTGCAAATATGTTGGAGACAAGATATTCCAAAGTAATGGATTGCACATTAATACCAGAGGTTGCTTGAAAAATATTCTATAGAAATACTCAAAATGTAATTTGTTGCAGGAAAGAAATGGTTAAATCTGAACTTGAACAAGTAACCAGAAAAATAGCATTTTTCTACAGAGTAAATCTTTAGAATGCATTCTACTGATCCAAGGACTCTGTATTATCTCTTTTTCTTCTCTCACTTAACGCAATTTCAAAGTAAATTTAATTCAGTGTCATGCCAAATTTTTCTACATGAAGAGTTAACATAACTTTATTACCAAAAAAACACACTACCTGATTATGGGTAGCACTCGGACACATTTCTTGAGAAAACATGGGTTATATTCACATTACATGAAAAAATACCTGCTTTTACAAAAACACATCCTTTTGCTTTCCTCCCTGCACCCATTCTGCACGTTCCCCCAATCTAATCAGCAATAGATTTGGAGGGCTTGCATGAAGTTGTGGGGGTAGCTCCACCACTGGTTCCCATTATGTTGGTTAACAGCCAGCACTGATACATAGAAAAAGAAAGCATTTTCAGGTGGAAAAATAACAGCAAGACACAGCTATCCCCTAACTGCCAGTATTTCATTTCCAGGCTCTCGTATTCTCAGGAAAACCAAATCAGCACAAAAGTTGCAGGAGATATTTAAAAGTCTGACAACTTTAATTGGGGGTGGGGCATGGCAGGAAGGCAAATGGAAGTATTAAAACATTTAGACTATAAAGTCTTTGGAATCACAAGGTTATTTAAGAATGACTATCTCTGGGGAATAAACTGAAACAGATGGTGATATAGATTGAACAAATAATTGTTTTGGGCAACTTTTCAAACACAAATTTAAGATAGTAAATTATCTCTAAACTAATATAAACTGAACCTTAATTGAACGCCCACAAAACAAATCACAATACAACACTCATTATGAACTGTAAAGAATTTCTATTTATTCAGTTAATGTATATGTCAAGCAAAGCACAGTATTGTTTACTTTTAATATAAAAATAGGTATATGTCTGCAGTATAGTTGAAATTCCATTCAAATCAATGGCTAAATACTCACTGATGCAAATGAAGTCCGGGCCCTAACTATGGAAATCTGTAGTTAATTCCTTTGGTAACATCATTATAATCATGCCTTAACAATAAATATTTTAGTTTAGAAAAGGGAAGAAATGTGATCCCCATTGACACCAAAACACTAAATACACCAACTGAACATTAGAATTTATACATATTTACAGCTTGCATAAATGCATTTTAAGATTACAGCAATTAACAATAGAGCCAAATGCAGCTACATATAAAACTTCAGTGATTTAAGAGAATTAGTATATATGTAGTCGTGTATAAAATCTCAGACAGTGGATATATATACACATTTATTATTTATACATTATATATAAAGGACAAAATGCAGTGAAAAAAGACTGTTTCAACTCAACATCACAGTCAGATATTGGGCACCGCTTAAAGTAGTATCAAAGATTATGATAAATATAAATGGACCATTTAATGTATTAATGTGAAAGAACAATGCACACTATTCAAAATCCTCATTTTGTTTATAAAACGTTGGAGCTGAGTGAGAAAACCCTGACTTCGCTCTAAATAAGGATTTTAAAAAGCAGCCTTTAAAATTAAATATTTTTGAGAAGATTAAAACAAAATCAACACAAAAAAGGAAAATGTAAGTGTTCTTGCTGATAAAGAGAGATGACCAACAACTGTGTTTTTCTGAAACAGCCTACCCAAAGACATATTGGTCCAAGTCATTATTAGCATAAATCTAAATAGCTTACTTAGCACCAGTATTTGAAGTGAAGAGTGGGGATCATTTGATAATAGATACCACAGGCAACAGATACTGCAGAACAACTCTGAGAGCGTGGTATAAATGCCTTTGGTTTTCCTTGCATTTACTTATACATTTCTGCTTATTTTAATAATGTGTCCATTCCCCTTTCCAACTATACTGTATGCTGTATTTTTTCCCTTCAGGATGATCCTGTTATTAATAGGATAAATCCATGGGCAGCAAGAAATGAAGGAATATCCAGAACAGAAAATCTTTTTTTCTTTTTAAAAATCTGGACAGGAACTCTTTCTGACTTCTCAACACTAGAAAAATACATTGCCATATCCCCTTCCATACACCCTTTTACAATACGTATTTACCAGCTAAGGTAAAAAAAGAATCTGCACATAAATTCTTACTGTGACTAAAACACAGCATAATCAACTCATCAGCTCCTCCTTCATATAGGTGAATATTCAGTAACGCCAGGGAATGAGAACAGAGAGAAAAGACTGATCCAAATTTGATCAGGTCCATTTGTGTTTGGGAATTAATTTATGAACTTAAAAATGCACTCTTTAAGCTCTCTTGTCTTCAGACCAGGAATATTACTCAACAGCAATAAAAATAACTAGTTTTTGAAAAAAAGCAAGAAAGAAATCAATTCTGGCAGAAACCATAAAAGCCATTAACTTCTCTGATATTCAAAGTGTCTGTGTGTGTGTGTGTGTGTGTGTGTGTGTGTGTGTGTGTGTTTCTCAAGTTCATAACTACTGTACAATCTTAAAAGGCATTCTTGTTAAGATGATGATCTCAAAGGGATGCAAACCAAAGTCCAAATTAACCAATTAAACTGGGTTTCAAAGAAAGCACTTCAAATGTAAAGGTTCCATTAAAACACAATTACTATGTTCCCAAAATCCAGAAAGAGCAAACAGGAGGAGTTGCATATATCAGCTTTGTTTCCCAGCTTCTATTACAAGGGAAAAATTGAAGTGGCATTTTTATCAATAGCGAGGAGACATAGAATATTATAGAAGTCAAGATTGAAAGCTTTTTTTTTTTTTTTTTTTTAACACACCCGCAGCTCACCTAGTTTAAACAGCTATGCAGAAAGACACTTAAGCTTGAATTAACTTTTACTTTGAAATTGCTTGGTTGTCTGTTCCCTTGAGCAGAAGTATCCTTTTAAATCAATGGAAGGACCATTTAAAAGATTACGGGTCAGCAACATGTAAAACTGTTTCCAGGCTCAGACTCTGCATTTTCACAGGAGAGGCTGCTGGTGATAATTTGTTTGCTGCTGTGGAAGTGAATGAGTGGGAGCTGCTGGATAGCAGGGACCTTGAGGCAAACTGGATGCAGTGTTCTGGTAGGCTAGCATATCCACAGGCAGGCCCATAGGTTGGGCATAAGAAACGGGACCAGCAGGCGGGAGGCAAGAATTCTGGTTCATGTAAGTAGAACTGGACACAGAATCTAGACCAGGGCTGAAATACAATAAAGACATTAGCCTAGAGCAAACCCCGCAAGCATTATGGAGAGATGAGGATAACGCTGGTTAACTTAATTTTGTTAATGGGTTACCTTAAGTAAGTCTGAGCAGGCTGAGATGTTACTGAAGAATTCACAGTTGGAGGCAAGGACCTCAGTGGACCAATCTGATCACTTCCTGGATTGTAGCTTTGAGGCATACCATGGACCACATAATTCCCACTGTGTGGATGGATGGGATATGACTACAACAGAAACAGAACAGAACTGACCCTCTGAAGCACAAGGATACTTCTCAAAAGGAAAGAACAGTAACTCTTCCAGTAGTCAATAATACAAGAACGCAAACAGTGCACCAAAACCATGAAGATGGAACCAATTTTTGATAATCAAAACCACCTTTCAAATCTGCTACAGAAACCGATCTGAGCATGGAAGAGATAGGAAGAAGGGGAAGAAGCACAACAAGAATGTTCACTACATGAGAAGTGAAATAGTTTATCACTGAATGAATCCATTGGCCTTCAAAGCTTGTAAGAATCTCCTTCAGGTGTAGAAGAAATCAGTTATTTAGATCTGAAACAGAAGTGATGCTGAGGGGGGCAGGAGGCATGCTTGTGGCACTGCTGGTGCCTCTGTAAGGAACCCATACCTTTTTTTAGTTTACACTTAACCATGTGGTCTGAAGCAATTTGTGCACAAGGTCATTGCATCCTGCTGCTCCTTTTTTAACTTAAATCTGACCATAAGGCCTAAGACCATCTGGCTACCATGCAAGCCCAACTAAAAGCATAGCTTTTTTTATAGGCCCTCCCAAGCACCTTTTTCATTTCAAATCTGTATGTGCACATCCATAGAAGGAAGGCAAAATGGTGGAGCAATTTCAATTAGTAACCATGTTGAACTATAGATCTGATCAGAATACCCTCTTTTCACCTATAAAAATCATCTGCTCATCAAATGTTTGTGAAATACAGCAGACTGCCAAATTTCAGTTGCATAGTTGTTTGCCAATATAAATTCAGTATCGAAATTAGGAGCCCCAACTCAGATTATCTTCAGCATAAACTGTGATTCCAATTTTAGAGATGTCACTATTTTAAAGCCACTATAGCTTTTGTATACTTATTTAATAGGACTGAAGCATTTAATAGGACTGACGCTTTGCTGCAGCTCTTCTGTGACTATCATCTTTATCAGGGGCTTATCAGATTTATCTAGTTATAGCATATATATACCCACATCCACTTTGGAAATTATGAATAATGAATAATGAAGAGGGTAGTTCATTGAGAAAATTAAGTGATGCTAGTTTCTTCTTGCTCAAACTCTACCCATTTTTTAATGCAACCTCCGACATGCCAGATAAGCTTGAATATGACTTTAGTCCAAGAGGAAATGCCATCGTCCATTACAATCGAGTTCATGCAGCTTTTTTATATTTCTGCTATACTGAAGTAATAAGATTAGGTCAGGACATTACTAAAGCTACAAAGCTTATTAAATAACCATAGGACAGTCTTAGTCTCTCAGGATTATCAGAATAACATGGATGGCAAAAAAACTATGTATGTCTTCCAAAGTATATTAGGATGAGAGAAATATGTCATATATATTTGAGTTATTCATTAAAAATATATATATTAAATCCCATGGTCCTAAAAAGAGGACTTCTGGCCTACCATTTTTATGAAGAAGGTGTGTATATGTTTTCACTCTAAATGAAGGCAATCCCATATGGTGCAGATTATATGGCTGTTTTCATAAAAACGTATCTTTTATCGGTCCAGAATTTATAACAGAAAGACTTCAGTAAATAAATGCTTGGTTTATTAGCACTGAAGGGCTATTGCTATGTCTATAATGTTTCAATAACATTTTATTTATATCACAGCTGTGGCTTTAAATGTTATATTCTGCCTTTATTCTAAACACAGTCTTAAATGAAGGAATATATTTAAGGAAAGCATTTTTTTACAGAAAACGATTGCTTCAGGATTCAATGGTATATAAGTAGAGGTTAAACAACATTATAAAATTGTTTTCTCCTTCAGTTGCAGATGTTCTCTTATTGTTCTGTAGTCCTCAACTGAACACAATATTACCTTGAAGTGAGAGGAACATTAGTTCATCTAACGCTCTCTATTTCCCTTACGTCCCCAAATACTGTCAATCATTTCAAAGAGCTCAGAGGAAAACATAACAGCTGAATGCACTATCTTTGATGTGGCAGTTACCATAGTAACTATTCTTTTCATACTGTATTATGTAAAATCAACCTAAAATATGCAACCACATCTTTTTCATTTAATTGTGCTTCTAACTTTTCTTCCCTCAAGCCCCATCCCTCAGCAATTCCTTTACATAAAAACAAAGTAAATAAACCAAGGGGAGTATGTAGATTCAGAGTAGCTGTGCATGTCAAATTGTGAGGTCCTTTAACTCAACGGAAAAACAACTCTCAGTTGCAATCTCATTGAAAATCAACACAGCAACTCAAAATGTATGCACTGATACGTGAATGTGGAGGTGTCATCTGTGAAGCAGCTCTTCTGGAGAGGGCAGTCATGCACAGTGCCTGAGATTTTGTCTGCTATCCCAGCAAGTCTTACAGATACTATCCGAGTCATGCTGGAAAAAATAATTCTGTTCACTTATTAATAAAGCTTCAATGGAGACATGTTTAATTTAATCCTAACCGAGACTCACAAAATTCCACTGGCAAACAAGCTTTTGCAATACCTCCTTCTTAATGAGAGCTGTTTTGAAGGGCTCTGGAAAAAACAGAACTGACAAAGATCATGAAATGCTGCTTCCAACTAATGGAAATCTTTGGATCCAAATTCATGGGAAGGCTGCAATTACAACACTCTTTAACACTTATTAATCCTAAGGAAGAGAGGTAAGATCTACATCTGTTTAAGCATATGTTGACATGTTCTGCAGCAGAATTTTAAAATCTTTATGGAATTTCAAGTCATTCATAATGTAGTGATCTGTTCTTGTTCATATTGCAGCAGCCATTATATGTGAAAGGGATCCTTCTAGAAAGCAGAACTAAAAATAAGGCACTGACCTGCAATGGAACACTGGCTGATGTAGGTGCATACTGTGCTGCTGAATGCATCTTTGAGTACGTAGAATACATAGGAGCTTCATTCATTAGTTTATTGTAGAGTTCCAAAGCTTCCATTACTTTCACATTTAATTCAGACAATTCTGAATGCTTCCTAATTCAGGAGTAAATGAAGCACTTTTAGCTGTCATTGGTCCATTGGTTTGTTTAATTTGGAGTACAGTAAAACTTCAGCCTACGAATTAAAGTTTCTTGGAAATAAATTATTAATTTCTAAATATTTGTCATAAGCCATTCTGCATAATATGCCATGTATCACACTCAGTCCTTTGGGCTTAGTTTTCATAATCATTACACTACATAGAATATCTGAATTTTTTGAGGGTATTTGATGGTCCACCCTATTTTGTGCTCCTCTGGTGTACTGCTTAAATATAAATTACATTTCTTTTTTATTTATAAGTATTGCACAATTGCCTTACCTATCAATTTCTTCTAGCTTTTCATCTATCATGGGACCCATCTGTTGACAGACATCTAAGAACAGTAAAATATTAATATCTGTTTAGTTAATCGCTCATAAATAAAAGTAGTGAGGTGAATGCAATCAATGAATAATTTGCCTAGCATGCAAAATGAAAGGGGGAGTTTCACCTGCCTTTCAGACTGTCTCTTGCTTTAGCAAATAAAAAACATGAAAGTGACAATAGCTCTGGATTAGGATGTTTAGCATATTTAGCAGTAGTGATACCTTCTAAATCCAGAAGATCAGGAGAATCAGATTTAGGATCTGTTGGATCTATGCTCTGAAGTAACTGCAATGCCTTATCCATCTTATTCTGAAAGATGGAGAAAATATATTTAGGAAAATATTCAAATTGGGAGTGCAAATTCTCAAATCTCAGTATTTATTCTGTGATAAGGGGACATAGTAAAGAAAAGTTGCCTAAAATGTATTATCCCAGTTGAAAGCCAATACATACCTCATCTATGTACACTGGCTCTGGCTCAGCTTTTTTAATTTCAGTAACCTCTTCAGGAGCATCCTTATCAATAGGTCCTGCTAACAGAAGATGACAATATTAGTCTTCCTCCAATCAGCCTAAAGTAAGTTTCTGCCAATATACCCCACCTTCAGATTAGTTTAACATGTGCCCTGTTAAATCTGGGTGTAGAACAGGAGTCTCTGATAGACAGGCCTTGGGGTAGTGGACACAGCTTGCTGAAGGGTTCATGAGAGAAGGCTGTTTACATTCTCTGAAGTAAATAGCAAGACTTTGTCCCTTTCTAGAGAGCTAGCTAAGGCTGCAGGTTCTCTTCTGTTCCAGCCATGGGAGCAACTTTATATATAGGTAGAAAGATTTATTCTTTGAAAAGGGTTATTTTTAGCCTGCTACCAGAATTATGCAGAGCAAAGAAGAATCCTGATAATTAGACATCACTATAAGGACTGGTTCCAAGGCCTCTCACTCTGAAGGCTGCCTATTGGAGTGTGCACATATGAATTTAGCAGACTATGCTGGTCCTTCCTCAAACCAACTCAGGACTTTTCCCACAGTGAAGGTCTCTGTTAGCTGTTCCCAATTTCTTTGTCTGTCTTCCATGCCAATTTGTCATAACTAAAGTTCTGATTGTTTCATCCAGTAGAGAAACTTCACTTTGCCAATATTTCCATTGCTGTGTCCCTGCACTACTTTTCAGGCATGAAGACAGGCCTAACAACTCAGATTACTATAACAGTTCAAGATTACTGTGTGCAAACAGACAGCAGAAGAGCAAACTTTGAAAACTGAGCTTTTTAAATATGACAAGCTAAGATGGAAGATACAATGTTCAGGACTTGTTTAAATATTGTTTTTAATCTGGTTTGGGTATGTTTATAAAGTAGTGTGTGGCAGGAAAACATAATGGATGCAGAGGCAAAAAACACTTTTGCATGGTGAACATTATACAACACAGGGTGAAGTTATAGATTGAAATAAATATTACAATAAAGATAAATAAAGGTGGGGGCATTTCATAGTTTAACAACATGGTAGTGTTGTTCTAGAAACTGAGTTCTTGTTGGTCTGTAAACCCTAGTGCTGGAGACGTTTGGCTTAATAACCCAATCAACCCATGGATATTCAGTATATATTTCAGTAGCTTGGGATATTTTTAATTAACCAAAATGGTTGGAAACCCCTGGCGAAGAATATATAAACACAGGGAAAATAAGTTTTAAATTCTGCTTGTGTGATTTAATACCGTATCTTCTAAAATATAAAAGCACTTTGTATCTAAGTGCTTAATTCAGAGCAAATTATCTTCAAATCATGATTTCTAGTAGTGTCTGACTCATGATATTGGAATATTTTTGTTTGGCAACAGTAAAGAAGCTGGATCATGAACATGACATTTAAGAATAAACTTTGTTCACGAACAGAATTCGTATCATCTCCATATGCAGCTTCAGAACAATACGCCATTAACAGACATGACAGAAATTACTTCTCAGCAAGTGCAAGATCTTCTGATGAACTCCATAAAGTAACAGTGCTTTAACAGTTAGAACACAAGAGGGCATTTTGAGGAAAAGGACTAATGTCCTTCCAACATACTCAGCAACTTTGGACAAATCATTCGGTTTTTTGGTATTTTCCTGCACAAAAATGGGACTATATGAATGAATGAATGAATGAATGAATGAATGAATGA